TGACTGGAATATCATGACGTCGTTGCCTGTAAACTGTAAACGTGTATATTTCTTCAAATTAGAGTTGTAATATCCCATATAATTTATAGCATGTGACAAGTATCATTAAACCACAACAACACTCCTATTAGTCATACACACAGCATGGGGTCACCTCGGGCCAAATGATGTTATGTGCATAGTCGGGAAGTGCTGTGGGTTCTGTTTTTACTTTTGTTTTCTTTTTCAAAGAGTTTCAGTTATTTAGTGTTTTTAACGTAAAGCAACTCTTACATACCGGTAAGTGAATATTGGTTTCGTCAGATGCTGTGGTCTGCAAAATCTTGCAAACATCACTTTGGTTACCAAAAATATCATGTGTCATGCTGGTATAGTGGTGTGGCGCCACCTTCTCCCTTCCAAAAGAGAATTTAATCACAGCAGACTTCCTGGTTAAATAAAGCTTAAATGGATTTAAAAAAAGAAAGAACCCCCCCCCCCCCCCCCCAAAAGAATGCATTTTAAAGTTCTAAAATAGTTATATTTTATTATTTCTTGATACATCTTACACAAAAGCACACACAGGTGAAGTTACAGGCAACATCCAGCTTCTCTGACTTTCCTGGCATATTTACGGCCCTGTTTTATCCTACATCAGTAGCACACAGTATAGGTATAAGTGAGCATAGCCAGGTCAGACTTGATTCAAACATATCAAAACACGTGTTTTAGACTTTCAGCAGAGCCGCAGTACTGGTCTTTATAGAGTAGACAGTATCTGGCCCCAACTGTAGTGACTGAGGCACTAAAAAATGGGAAACTTGCGTATCGACAATGGAGAGGGCCTTGATTGGCGTATGTATGTTTGCGTCAATGTATGTGAATCCTTGAAAGGCCGTTGTAAAAGGGTACAAGGCTGTCATGGTCAGAGATTTTTTCCCCCCCCCCTACTCCTACTGAAATTAGTTACCATTGGTAGCCTAGAACGCAGTTTCTCTGGCCAATAAGCTGAGGACCCTCATGGGTCCTGCCCCTGGACGAAAATAACCCAGTAAATACACTGTGGGCACTATGAGAACTGGAGCTGGCCTACTGTTTAAAGCTTTGTGTACAAACAAGGGATTCTTGTCAGCTGGGTGCTGCTGAACCATGCTGGCCTGTGTCCTCCTCTGTTGTGTTAGGAACAACTAGCATAGTGGCCTGTTTTTCCTTATTGAGGCATACAGGGTGTGGAGAGGTTGGAAGTGTTTGCATGGAGGGATGTAAATAACTGGGTTAGATACAGTGTTATTAATTGCAATAGTCCTTAACATAAGAGATTTTCAGATGAGTACTGCCTCTTTACAATAGTTTTATGGGAACATCTATGTGAATATCAATGGGGAATATCTTTAAAAACATGATACTGTTAGCCAGATCTGTACACGATACTGTTGTTTAGTATGCTATGCCATGAATTTATTCTAATATTAGTTCAGGCGATGATGCTTGAACTCATCACTCAGAGTCTGTTAAAAATCCTATCCATAAGTCTTGATGCATGCTCAAGCATCCAGGTAGGGAAATCCCAGAAAGTTGATTCTGTTCATCTGGATGTAGCATTTTCAATAAGAGGAACGTTTCGTCACTCATTCACAGGACTTCTTCAGTCAGCTGACTGCAAGAAACTGATAGCACGGCCCATTGGTAATCAGTGATTCTAGTTTTGGTCATTATGCAAATGTACTGTTTTTAAGATTGGTGAAACCTGCAGTCAGCTGACTGAAGAAGTCCCTCGGATGAGTGACAAAATGTTTCTCCCACTAAAAAAGCTACGTCCAAATAAACAGAATAAACTTTCTGGCATATCCATAAGTATTCTGTTTCCTTATTTTTTTGTCTGTCTGGTTGTTGATGGATACAACGTACTTGTGTATATGCATTTTATTGAACGTGAGATTTTGATGTTCTTTACTGTCTTATAGAGAGCCGCCTTCAGGAGCCATTCATCCATAATATCTCATTACTGACAGAAATGCATGGATATTTCATATAGGTTTAAGTTTGCAATACTCTGCTGCGCTACTTCAGAAAACGTAAACCCTCATTGGAGGCAGTTTTTTGCTGGTCAGATCTTATGCCTGTAAAGCTACCACTAGTGTTTCAGATGTTTATTTGGATCACATTTTAGCTATGTGTGATGTATCCTGTGTGTTTTTTTTTCTAAACATAAATTAAATCATACCTGAATAATGCAGAGATCACAGCTTTAGAAATCCATGGCTGTGTTTCATTTATTAGAAAAAGTCAGAAAGCTGTGGAAACAACACTGAAAAAATGCAGATCATCAATGTTAATGTTTTTGTGTGCTTTTTTTGTTTGTGTGGGTGTTCAATTAAAGAAGTAAATGTGCTGATTCATTGCCCCATAGGTCATAAAAACACAGTGACCTGGTAGATAAAATAAGGAATTGCATTCAAATTGCGCACGCATATGTGTAGGTGTTGCTGTATGCAAATATTGTGCACTGAATTAAGAAGAGAGGCTGGACTGAGGAGGAGCTGCCCAATGGAGACAGAGAGAGAGAGAGAGAGAGAGAGAGAGAATGAAGAAACTAAAAGAGTTAGCTAGACACAGGGATCTCCTTGTTGTTGGCCCAGACGATTGCATTCAGGGTAATTTAGGGGAAGAGGAGGGAAACAGCAGGAGGAGGAGGACGTCTAGGAAGCTGAGCTGGTGGTTAGAAAGGGGGCAGAAGGTGACTAATAGTGACTGACACTGTACTTTAAGCAGTTCTGTTGAGGAAGGGGTGGCATCACAATCAGTGGAGCAGCACATGTAAGCTCTGGTTGGCTGAGCAAGCAAACGGCTCATGGTCTCTGTCAGTGTGTTTACTAACACGTGGAGGAGCTCATTTCACCTGGATACACTATGCTGTCTTTGGAGTAGTTGGAGAGTTTCTGGTAAGAACCTGAAGTTTAACTATACTGAACTATATCCATTGTTGTGTGTATTTCGTGGTGCCTGGCTGTTGACAGCTGTCACCCTGAGTTCTGTTCGTGCTTACTATGAAACATGTCTGAACATATTATGTGCAAAGTGTTTTTGTAAGAGGCAGAGGAACAGAAACACTTACAACAACAGAAACCACTTTAGATCTGGTCTATTATGGCCCAATTTTAACGTACTGTCTGTGACTTTTAAAAAAGAAAAACTAAAGAAAAACGAAAAATATGATTGAGCAGCTTTGAAGCGTTGTTTAGCATTGTGATCGATTATGGCAGAGGGCAGTTAATCTTAGCTGAACTGCAAGCATAAAAAGAAAAAATTATCAGTGGAGGCCAGACTTTCAGAAGGTTTTCTGTGATGGGTTATCCTCTAGTTTATAAGTTAGACTGCACTACACCTGCTCTTAGAGATGCTGGATAAAAGTATTATAATTTGCCCTATAGTGCCCTACTGTCTGTGTTTCACTTACATAATCTCTATATGGCTTGTGTATAATTCAGGTCTCGTGTCTGTTTAACCAGTTTGGTTAGATGAAATAGCTTAACTGATTTTAGATTAGACAGCGTTTGTTTTATTGTAGGTTTTTTCTTCCCTTCCTTCTAGGAGTTCAAGTGCTGTATGAGAGTGGCTGTCAGTGTCAAACAATTGCAAAGTTTTTGGTGTAAACTGTTCCTTACTCCTAATTTTAAAAAAAGTCATGGCTTAAAAAGTTTTCGTTTTTTCCATGGCTTGCCTGGCAAGGAAGTTGCTTCACCGCCAACAGAACTAGGAGTTGTGAAAACTCATGGAAGGAAAGGGGAAGTAATGCGTTGTGGTTTTTATTGATGATGCTGGCTCATTGTCCTTCCTATATCTGTGTGTTGTACAATAGATACTGCGGAGAGCCTGCTGTTGTTCTTTCCGTGCTTTTTTTCACAGTACTCTCTGCTCTGTGATCACTGCAGCTGAGATTCGCTGTGCTCAGGGTCTCTCTTGAGCGACTATAAATAGGCTGTTGAATGTGACAGGCACAGTGTTGATGAGTTATGGTGATTCATTTAGATGACCTTCTGAAAGTTAGCCACTGAGTAGAATCACTCAACCTTCGCACTTCATCTTGGTGAGGAGATGGTAATAAATTACACAGATGTTTCTATCCACGTTACATTTACAGTCTTAAGACTCCTGACTATGTTTGAGTGGTTATTTTGCATCATATATACTCTTTGTGTGTGTGTACCATGTTTAGATATCTTTGTGATGACCAAAAATTGGAACGCTACTATACTTGTGGGGACCACCAGTCCCTTATGGCAACAAAATGCCCGTCCCCACGAGTTTGAAGACGTTTTTGAGACTCAGAATGTGGTTTTGGTGTCAGGGTTACTATTAGGTTTAGGCTAAGGGTTCAGGGATTCATTTTTGATGGTTAGCGTTAGGGTAAGCGGCTAGGGAAAGCAGTATGTCACTTAGATGTCCTCACTAAGATATTAAAAGTGTGCGTTTTGTATATGTGTGTATATTAGATCCCTTTTAACTCTAACCATGATATTGTGCAATGTTTTGATATTTCCTTGGGTGTGCATCCCTTTTCATAAAAACCTTTACATCCTTGACGCTCTTACTTTAATGATTAAGGTGTTAAAATGACTGGAAACCAGGTATAGGAAATGCAGTGCCTGAAGAATGAGCCGAGGTGAAAAAACAACAACTTTCAAATCAGTTATTGAGAATATCTTCCTGTCGCATGTGTTTATACTTAAGCCTCACCATGGTCTGTTGCTTCACTTGCTTCCGCTATGGAAATTCTGCTTTAAGTGTGTGTTGCACACCTGCAGCTCCCCCTTCTTAAATACTTCACTGCTTCCTCAGCTGCTTTTTCACAACTGCCAAATTTGTATGCTTTATTTATAGCTGTTCATTTTATCTGTCAGTTCTCTGTTCAGTTTTACATTTTATAACCAATCATTTCTTCTTTTTCTTTTTGATTGTTGTTGTCTCTTGGTTCTTTCATCCCTTCATCCCATTGGCCATCGACTTTCTCCATCATCCAGACATGTAGTCAGCAGCATAAGCAGAGCACACACTACTTTGTGAACTCTTATTTACTCTCAAACAGGTAATTGTATTCAGTGTGCCTATATAACCCCTGTATACTCTAACCATATATATATTTATGTCACAAATATGTTGTGGTAACAGATGAAAATGATCTGCCTGTTTGCCAGTGTGTATTCAAAACAGAGGTCTGTTTACATGTTTTCAAGGGGTCTGCATGAAAACTGGCAAACACCGTAGAGCACTAATACACATGCAGGCTTACTCTTCATGTGCATGCCCTCCTCTCACCTGTACCCGCACCTACAGACAAAAACATGCACAAATGCATGAGGCTACGCACACAAACACAAACACATGAAGAAAACAACAAAAAGACACATCGTAGTTCAGGGGAACATGGTGTTCCTGAAAAGGAGAACAGAGAGCAGGGGTTATTTTAGCCATTAGCACAGGAAGACAGATAACTTAATGAGAAAGCCAGCGTTTGTGTTTTGACTTGAAGTTATATTCTTTGGTTTTCCAAGTTTGGTTTGTGAAAACTTTAATGTCTTGTCATGAGGAAGGTTAAGCAGCTTTTGCACTACATTGTTGACGTGTTGGTGTTCAGAGCAGGGCTAGCCATGTTGCACTTCTTGTCTCTATGCTCACTAACTGTGCAGAACTGATTTGCACAGGTCCTACACTTGCTTTAAATAAAGTTTTACATGCTGTTATGTATATGCAGGTTTGACAACATACATGTGCACCATGCATGCATAGAGGTAGGTGTGTGTGTATGTACACACCCCACATATAACTGCTGGTTGCCAAAAAGGCCATTCTTGGCTTTGCACAGCCACTTCTAAAAATAAACACTCCACAAATTAACACGCTGTCTCCGAGCACAGGTGCTATAGCCCCACACTGCCCCCACATTAGTGTGTACTTCTGTGTGTACCTGCTATGCTTCTGCCTGGAAGAAAAGCTGTCATCACTCTCTAAGTTGAATATATTACACACGTCTTGGATTTCTTGGTTAGCTGTCATTACCTAGCCATGTTGCCTCCTCACAGATGTATCTGATCAGCCTTTACTTTGACCTGATCTGAAAATGTTTTAATTTACACAAAGTACTGCAGTAACACATGCTTATGGTAGTTTAGACATGAAAGCTGGACTTTGGTTGAGATATATTTGTGTGACTAACGTGGCAGTGTTGGCCTCTGACCCGGGCTTCCTCCGCTCTGCATCCTACTACTGGCTGTCAGTGTTTGAAGTGAAGGGGTTGTGACATTACAGCGTCGGACACACAATAGCTGCTCTGTGCTTCTACTGCGTCACAAATGCCCCCAGTTGATGTCAGGCAATGGGAAGGCCCGTGTGGGGGATCACACTGCCTGGTAGCAGTGTGTCACCATATGATATCAGGAAGTGACATCCTATATGATGAAAATAAGTGTGCAACATTTACAGGACATGTAGGTCATGGATCATGGCTTTGTTACACTGGGTGGATGTATGATACATACTTTGCATGATGAAATGGAGGAAGTGAAATGTAAACATTGCAGCAAACGCATCTGCCACTGTCAGCAGCTTTACAAACAAGGTAGATTTGGAATCCTTTTACTCGTGCATCGGGGATTCAAATGTGTGTCTTTGGGCCATTATTTGTGCCACGTAGCCTGGTTTCTCTACAAAGTAGACCATTAGGTTAAAGTCAAATCTAATATGTTTTTATAAGTAAAGCTTGTGTCTGCAAAGAGCTTTTATGGTCAACGACAACATACCCCTGTGCAACTAGCCCTTGTTATGCACAAGTACACACCTTGAGGACATTTACTACTGTCGCTGCAGGAAGGCTCCTTCTGTTGCAGCACTGCATCAACAGCTGTAAATCTTGCAGATTAAAGCAAGCTGGCCTTTAAGATCTGCCGGTTGGCCTGCCCTAAAGTCCAAGTTCTGGCACAAGTGTGTTTTGGAAACTGCATGTGTTTGAATGTGTATCTCTGCATGGGTGTGTGTTTTTCATGTGGGCCATCTAATGGGCACAAAGCAGGCAGTGTGTGCCCCCTCGGTTGCTGAAATGTACACTGTGGACAACAGGCGGCTTCAGTCCTTCTCAATAGGAGCTGCCCTTCTTATTGTACCTCGTGCACAATGAGCTTTTCTCTCTCTCTCGCTCTGTCTTTCTCTCTTTATGAGCATATACAGAGAATGGAGCAATCACATTCTGACTGATGCTGTGCTATTCCATCCCACATCACCGCAAGCACAAGATATTTGACTAGACACTGAGATGTAGCACTGATTTCATCACACCTTTATAAGGGCCAGAGAAGCTTAGTCACGCAGGGGCTAAACGCAAGTCACTGCAGAAGGGGAACTATCAGCCCAGGAACTCCCCAATCTATGCTAACTTTGTGTATGTGAGAGAAAAAAAGCAGATGTTGAAAGGGGTGACGGGTGTTCCCCTCATCTTTTTGCTCACATGATCACTTAAGAACAACAAGACCACATGACTTTGACATGACTGGAAATCATCCTCTATGTGGGGGAAAAAAAAAATTATTTCCTGTCTTTTTTTTCATCATAACAAAACTAAAAGGGTCAAGTCAGGGTGACACCAGGAGTGTGCAAGTGATCCTTGTTTTTGCATTAGCTGCTAATGTTATGTGATTGATGCGCATTAGGTGTGAAAGTCAAAAGGTCATTGTAGTTGAGGAATTTTGATTCAAAAGATACAGCATGAAAGGTGGATTTTTAAGTGACATTTCAATTTGGGAACAGTCATGAGATGTATGTTTTTGGGGGGTTGTTTATTTTTTATTTCTTTGAAAACGTTGCACAACAGGCAGACAATGAATGGATGGTTAGATGAATAGATTTGAGAGGCTTGGCTGCTGGTGATGTGTCAGATTGTTCACTGATCCAGCTTTGCTTACTTGAGGCCTGATCAGAGACTGTGAATCAGCGAATGCTGTGTCAACTTGGTAAACAGTTTTTATGAGTATTCACCCTGCTTTTAAACATCTTTTAGAAATTGGATTTAGTACAGTTGATTCAGTGGGAACACAGAAATCTTGATTATTTATTTTTTTGAATGTTATACATGAGATATTGCGTTGGTGTGACTACTACCTTGATTTAACTTAACTGAACAGAGGATTTAATCAACTTGGTTCTGGACTTCTTTTATAAGTTTAAATAGCTGTTTGTCCAAACCTTTACTAACTATTGATAATCTTGTTATTGTCAAACAATTGCATACATATACTAGCATAAATAAGACAAACTAAGGTAAGACTTTTGTTTGTTATTTGCAACAAGAAATGAATGCTTAAACTAAAGTTGAGAATCTGCTTCACTGTTAAATAAACAAAGCCAAAAAAATTGTAACATCACAAAGTCACAGGTCTGTTCACACGAAAGTATTGCACACAACTCCTCTTGTCTCACACCTCCCTTCCTACCACTGATGTTGCCATTAAACACAAAAGAATTAGTTTAATTAGGCTTTTCTTCAGAGGTTAGATGTGTTTCCATAGTCTAGTTCTTTGCAAATGATCTGTAATAGCGAGGTTACATTTTATGTTAATCAGATCATTTCTAGCTTCTTTCTATGTTACTACAATTTTTTCATTTCCCCCCCCCTCGTTGTTTCTTTTACAGCTTCCACTACCTCTCGGGCTGGACTGTGGTGCATTAACGTCAGCTCGCCCTCCCCTGCCCCCCCGCCCCTCAGCCATGGCCTCACGCATTGGCTTGCGGATGCAGGTACAACATAACCTTCCACCGTTCAGTAAACAACATGCGGGAGTTTTGCTGGCTATTTATATCACTTTATATTTGTAATGTTGTGCAATGAATTTGAAACGTTTTTTTCCTTTTAAATGTCTCATAGCATTTTGATTGATAGATGGGCGTGTCTACCTATCTAGGTTTCATTAGGGCCTGATTTTCACTGCCATGTATAAGGTATAACACAGAGCCAAAAAAATAAAAAGAAAAAAACAAATTCTTGTTTTTTCTTTTAACTATGTCATCGTTTTTACATAGATGGATATAAATAGACGCTATTAATCCCACAGTGGTGTAAATGCCTTGTTGCAGCAGCACAAGGGTCAGAAAGAAAAACAATGAATTATTTATACACTAAAATATACTAAAAGGCAGGTCAGAGCTGTTGTTGTTGCTTTTTAATGGACATTGAAGCTTTTAAAATAAAGTAAATTTTAAACGGCTGATTATAAACTTTTACATACAAATCTTACAGTTTTCACAAGTCCTCACCGTGTCCCTTTCAGACACTTTGCACATGTACATTTGATAGTCAAACAATAGTCACGAGCATAGTTGGAGTCACTGCAGCCACTGTTGTTGTTACGATACCTACCGGTAGCAGCATGAAACTTACAAATCCCCTCATTCTAACATTGCGTGCTTCGATTGTTACCAGTGAACGGCTGTGGAATTAAAGCACTTTGAAATCAGATGATGATTGGAAAATATTTATTTTATGTGCATATTTTAAAGTCTGATTGCTGACTACTATTTTTGGGAAAATTCCACCTGGAAAAATGCCCTCCCCTCAAATTCAATTATAGCTCGGAAAAACTTTATGAAGTGAATCAGTAAAAAATAAAGATGCCCTTGAACTATAAGCAAAAAAAAGAAAATCAAATTTGTTGTAACTATTGAAGCATGACATATGCTTCATTTGTTTCTATCATAGGCGATTCTGGTCAGCAACCTTCCAAAAATGTTGCCGGTTTCATTTTAAGATAAGATGCAAGCTGGTGTTGGTTACACTGTCTTTCTGGGTGGAGGATAAACGCTAATGTGTGTGTGCATGTTTGTTTCCAGCTGATGCGAGACCAGCTGCAGCAGGAGGAGCAGCGTGAGCGGCAGCAGCTACAGCAGCAGCAGAATGCAGCCCTGCAGTACATGCAGAACCACATGGCTGGGCCACCTGCACCCACCCCAGCCATTAGCACTCCACAACATTACCAAAGCATGCAGGTCCCCATGGAGGTTCTGAAGGTCAGATATTCTTAAGATGCAAATGGCTTATTGTGATAGATATGTTTTGCTGGATTTACTCCCCACACAGCTTCTTTTTGACAGGACCGCTGCACATTATGCTCAAACAGAGTGTAGTAAAATGTCTGCGGCTCCCAGTCCACATGCAAACATGCCAAGAGAAAGCACTAAACGGATTTATGGGACTGTAAAATAAAGAAAACATGTTGGTCGAGTGTTTGAAAAATATGTCTCTATTTATCTAATTACATGTTATAGCAATAAAGCAATGGCAGGAGCATGCAGCTGGAGGTGGTCAGGTCTTCACTGAGCATTGTGGCCTCCCAAACAAGCAGCACTGACACACAGGCAAAAGTCAGGTTTAAAAAGAAAAAAAATAACTAAAAGAGAACAATGCAGAGGCGCGCCAAGCAGGTAGGAAGACACAAAGGGGAGATAAGAGTGGTTTGACACGTTGTGCAATAGGGCAGACAGGAGCGATAGATAGAGTCAGTCAGGGAGAGATAAAGCCGAAGTGACATTTTGCCCGATTCCGGAGATGCTTGTTGTGTGCGTTATTATCTTACATAATGTGTGTTTGCGAGTTTATGGGTTTGTGGAATACTCCATTATATGACATTGTGCATTTTGCAGTGAGAATTCATACATTGTGTAACTCGTATTGAATGCTCCAACTTGCTGCATTGGCACTTTACTCCGTGCACATGCGTGCATATGTGGGAGAGGGGAATGGTGTTTATGAAATCACCACAGAGTTTAAAGTTGTCATTGTTCTTTCTGTAGATAAGGTAAGCTTCTCTATCGCTCCCTCTGAACCATACATGTAAATGCATACATGTAAAGAACTGTTGTTGGACCAGGTATTTACAAGGTAAACACAGTACAAATATCTATTGACTGAAAAGTTCACAGTTCATTTAATATAACCCTACCATGGTTATATAACAGAGAGCTGAGGGGGGGCTGAGGAGTCAAGTCTTTCTTTGTAGTAATGGCGAGCAAGCTTGCTCTCTCCTTTATTCTTTGATCTGAAGGAATGAGGCCAGTCCAATGCTCTGTGTGGCCACATCAGAGGATTCAGTGAGGCTTTACTCCTGTAGGCTTTACCACTGACTTAAACATACTATGTCCTAGTGCCATAACTGAGATAATGAGGTCTGAATCGCATATTCTGTGTTATCTTTTTAAATATTATTGGAAGGTAATAAGCTTATATTGTACATTAAATGTATGTTTTTATAATATCCCTGTGTGGTAACAGAAATAAGCAAACTTGCTGTTAGTCTTGCTTTTTGTTGCCACATATGTTGTGACAAAATAGAAAGAAGTACCCAAAAATGATACTTTGAGTTTCCAGCTGAATTAATAATAGAAAAAGAGCTGATTGCATTTTGTTTGTCCCTACTATAGGTACAGACTCACCTTGAAAATCCTACAGACTACCACATCCGTCAGTCTCGAAGACAGCAAGTGAAAGAATACCTGTCAACCACCTACGCTACCAAACAGGTATACGTTTGTCATTTTCTTCAGTCCGTCCATGTAGTATTGAAATACATCTGCCTATAGTATGTCAGATCTCTGTTCACTAATGCTGTAACACTCTCTTTCTCTGTGTGTTCCTAGGCGGTCAATGCAGTAGCGGGGCTAATACCACCCTCGCCTCCCACAAACATGGGACCTGCAGGGGGTTCAGCATCTGCACCCCCACCTCTCCAGTCCCCACACATGCGCACCGAGCAGCTTATGTCTGGCAACAGTGCCCCCAACAGCCCGATGGCCATGCTCAACATTGGTTCCAGCCACGAGAAAGAGGTAGATGTGTGGGCCGACAGTAGCATAAGCATAAACCCATAAACATTCATTCCTGGGCAGGTCATAAAGTACCATTTACAGGATCCAGACTGAACAAATATCCCTAAAATATGACTTAATTACACTCGTATATAAAATTATGAGGGTTGACTATTACCCCCAAAGTAACATCATCTCCACATTTTATGAAAGCACCATAATGATTTAATTGGTCTTTTGAAGGGTTAGAGGAGCATTTTGTCACTGTGCTGATGTTAATGTGTTGTGCACACAGTAGGGACATGGATGAATGTGTTGACTAACTGGCAATAACTGAGAATGGTAATCAGTGGGATTTAAATGCTCCATAATGGCCTTGCACCAGTAATTACAGCTTAAAAAGTGACAGGGAAGCAGCAGAATGGATGGCCCTTTGAACCTGTAAGACTTTGACCTGCTGTGTGCTTTTAGCATAACCACCTCTCTTCTGTCTCTCTCTAATCCTTTTAGATAGATAAGTAGTGTAACATGCATGTCCGGGGAGGTTACAATCAAGTTTCTGAGGCTTTAATCAATTGAGGAGGAGGGACAGCATTTTGTTTTTAGTTTAGTGTTTTCTAAGCATTCAAATGGTGGTTTTGGTTTGCTTCCCTCTCTTAACATTAGATAAAAACAGGTCACAAAAACATAATTAACACTTCTTTTTTTCCCCCCCCAGATGGATGAGGTCATTGATAACATCATCAGTATGCAGTCCAATGATGAGTATTTTCAAAGTTTCACTGATGCTGTCCAAATGTCAAACACAGTAAGTAGGAACAATACATATAACTAAGCTGCATTGCATCCAAACGTATGATTTTATTTACACATTGTGTAAGCGCACGCAGTTTGTTTTAAGGGACTCTGCATATTTAAATGGGTCATTGACTATAAAGGCCACAAAACCTTTACGGGCAAATTTGTCTCTGCTGATTTTATGCTGTGACACTACAGTGGTATTGTGGTAACAAAAACAAACAAGTGACGTATCTATGAAATGGTGCAGCAAAAGAGGTTTGGCCGCTCTGCAACAGTCAGAATTACTTTTAAAATAGATTTTTGCACTGAAAACATTACTGCGTCGCGTTATTCTGAAAATTGAAACCAAGCGTTACATAGATTTGTTCTCTGTATTACCACATGATTCTATAGCTTGAATGCACCACCTTAAAATAGAATAGGGAATTCCCAAGTGTTTTAATTAAGTATGATGTTCTCTGAAACTTGCGACCACTTCAATTCCAGCTCTGTCTGTACTACATGAGTCACAGAGCTGGATATGCCAGGTCATCAGTACTCAGACTTTTAAGTGCTTCCTATAATCATTGTTCTTGTGTGTGAAAAATGGCTCTCTTTATGGCAGTTGTTAATGTTCTTAGTTATTCTTAATGTTATCGGGTATTGCTTTGTGATCGCTGTAACATTAGTGTTTCTAAGTAGAGTTTTCTCTAGATTTGATTCTGTATATTCTCATACGCTAACAATGTTTAATTGACTTAGTCGCAAAACATTCTGGCCCTGAATGATGTTGGGCATAATTAGAAACTGTAGGGCGGACATACCAGTTGGAAGACTGTACAGCACTTTGTGTTTGAGGGAGCAAACTCAGAAAATTAACAATTAAACTGGCAGCAGTTAGAGTTCAACTTGTTTACAAGACATTTGGAACGGGGGGGGGAGAAGGGCGGGAGGAATAGAAAGGAGGAGGGAAAGGGGGGCGAGGGCAATTTGTGTAAGGGGAAAACAGGCTGAAAGTCCAGTTAGGGGAAAGTTCACTCCTGTTTGGTTGGGAGCAGAGGTAGAAGAGAGAAAGGAGCGGAGCTGCCGTGGTCATTCTGGCAGCACAGGAGCGGCAGTGCCATTCAGAGCTGCATGTGCTGCTTGTGCCTTTAGAGGGAAGAAGGGAGCGCCTTGGCACTGCAGGAGAAGGAGTTAGAGGATGAAGGAGATGAGTAAGACGTATGCAATTGTGGAAGTTATTGAGGGAGAACAGATTCAACTGGTAAGACAATGAAGCACTCTTGTTTATAATTCTTTGAGTTTTGGTTGGGAGTTGTTGGATTCCTTTCTTTGTCTGAATGAGTTATTTGAACCACAGTGACTCTTAAGTCCCAGCCTTGAGTGCCTGATTATCAGAAAGAGGAATAGCAGGGGTGGTGGCGTGGTTTTGTGTGCGTGCGTGCGTGCGTGTTTGTTAGCATGTGATGGCTGTTTTCTGCTGGACATGAATCAAAACTGTTGCACATTTAAGCTAATTTAAGATTACTCCTGCCGGGTGCACTCAAACATAAAGGTTGGCGGGACTTAGCTTCTGCATTCTCAGACATATTGTGTAGTTGTCCAACGTTTTCCCTGCTCCTGCAGCAGGTAGACAGGGAAACCTACAAAGTCTCCTGTTGCTTTATCTGATACTCATGTCAAACACTGATACAAGCAGCCAATACTGTCTTTTTCCTTCTCTTCTGTGAAACAGTTAAGCTTTTAGTAATTAATTCTGTACACATACATCTGACCATCTGCGTGCAGTGTCTGAGTTAACTGTGAGAATCCTGCATGATGTGTTTAATTGCTTAAATCACTATCACACTGATAAGGTGAACCGTGCTGATCAGGTTTAGATTGATTAAGTGAGAAGCCAGCACAATAAACTACCACAGGCAGAAACTCAGTGATAATCAAAATGTTAAAAAAAATATATAAAAAAAAATCCAGCTTTACGCCCAGCTGTCAGAACAGTGTGCGTGGAAGTCACCTGCTAATCCTAATGGGGATTAAAGCAGCAAACTCCATGGAATTCTTGGAATCTCAAAGTTTAGCAAAAGTCTGGAACACCCCTGAATGCCAGGCTCAAGTGAACAGTTTGACTTGTGCGTTGCTCCACTGAGCCATACTGAGTTCAAGTAGAATTTAGTCTTCAAATTGAATTAAATGGGCCTTTACTGGAGTGGAGAATGAAGGTGGTGTTTCCAGTCAGAATGTGGTCGCTGCAGAGGGACGAGGCAGGGAATTTGGGCTTATTAGAGTTGTGTGTTTTTGATTCAATAACTCAATCTGCCCAGATTTGTAATCGTGACAAGGTTTCAAATGGGCTTCTGTCTTCTTCTTAATATGATGTAGAAATTTTAAAAAAAATGTTACCTCTAGAAAACGGTTAATGCTTGAGATCCTACAAATTAAAAGTCTTTGGTATTTAACAGTGTGGGTAAACTTCAGTTCGGTTGATAATGTTATCATTTAAGTTAAAGTTTTACATTTCATATATTCTTTAGATCTTTTGTAAGAATTGTAACAAAAAAATCTAACTTAAATACATAGGTTTGCGTTTATATTAGTGAGTGAATATGTTTGATCTCACAGCTCAGACAGTAGCCAGCAGATTAAGCTATCTCATCCTTTGAGTTCTTTATCTTTCAGGCCTCATTAGCAGCGTCATATTTGCCCTTGCTTCAGGGAGTACGACACGGTTGCTTACAAGGCATAAAAAGTTCATCACGCTAACTAGATTGTACAATTAAAAGGAAATCACGTCTTTTTAGAAGTCCATAGCAAACTAAATCACCATTGTTATACAATGTCTAAAGTGCAATAGTGTGGAGACCACTGCACGAGTGTGAGTTCAGGAGCTGGTGAAAGCAGAGGAGAGAAATGAGCCATAAAGACAGATAAGATAGATGAGGTGATAGTCAATCATTTCTGTACTTGGCAGGCTGTTCTCAGGTGTGATATTACTGCATTATCTGCTGCTATCTGCTCTTTACATCACAATAAACATGAACAGTAACTAAAGGTACTTACTGAGATGATAGAAAGTCAGGTTTACTTAGTTTTCATTTTGATTAGTTTTTTTTTAATTCAGAAAATTGAAACCTTTGCTCATCTCCTATTTTTACTTTGCAAAGTATTTGTAAGATACTATGCATTTTCTAAATGCATGTGTGTGTGTGTCGTGTGTTTCCTTTGCAGCTCCCTCTTTCTAGCAGTCACCTAGATGTGTATGCAGGTCCTGGCATGAAGGGTCCAGCCATTGCTATGACCAGCAACTCCTGTCCTGCCAATCTGACCATCAAGCGAGAACTCTCAGGTGCGAAAGATGTTACAAAGTGATGCAGATTCTGTTGATCAGTGAAAACGTAGCGTGCGTTTATTGGCACTCTTGATAAGCTGTCTTTTTTGAGACGTGCCGCTTTCTCAGCCATTAGTTAATCACTTTTTGTTATTGCAAAGACGCAGAAGCCCGTGCGCTGGCCAAGGAGAGACAGAAAAAAGACAACCACAATCTGAGTGAGTCTTTCCCTCAGAATGCTATTTCCCTAAATCCTTTTTCCCTTTTTATTTTCTCACACTGATAATGTGCAGGCCTTCCGAAGAATTTGCACGTACCACATACATGCACACAAAGCATAATCTTTCCGATGCAGAAACAGTGTTATACGGCCTATGTGCTGATTTAGCTGACATAGTCCAACTACTGGGTGGATGGTTAACCTGGTAATTTCTGCTGTCCTTGCACTTAGGTGTAATTGCCTGTGACTGCGTGTGTGTGTGTGTGTGTGTGTGTGTGTGCTTAAATGTTTGCTTCTCTTTACACTTTTTGTATATTTCCAGTATCTGATCTATGCTATACATACTTAAAAAGTAGCATCTGTACAATTTCCTGTTCCTTATTTTAATGCCTTTGATTCACCTGCACAGTGATATTATCTTCAGTGTGTTTTTTCCTTTATGCTAATTTCCATTGGTCTTATCATTCTTCTGCAATAGTTGAAAGGAGGAGGAGATTCAACATTAATGATCGCATTAAAGAGCTGGGCACCATGATCCCCAAAACCAATGACCTGTGAGTTTCTCTTAGTGCACCATGTTTTTAAAGTAAATACAGATGTTGAGTAGTTACTGACATGAACTTACAAGTGAAAATTGCCTGTCTGCTCCCCTGTTTGCTTAGTGATGTGCGCTGGAACAAAGGCACTATATTGCGGGCATCTGTAGAGTACATCAAACGTATGCAAAAGGATGCACAGAGGACAAGAGAAGTAGAGAACAACTTCAAAAGGATGGAGATGGCCAACAAGCAGCTGTTGCTGCGCATCCAGGTAACACATTTGTACAGCACATGTCCAGAATCATAGAAAATGAATAATAATATTAATAGTAATAAAATTGCTTTTGTTCTTTCCCAACTGTCTAAAGGAGTTGGAGATGCAGGCTCATCTGCATGGCCTGCCCAGCAACTCTCCCTCTGGCCTGAACACGGGTGACATTATGGGTTCTTATATAAAACAAGAGACCAGCCTAGAGGAGAACCATTCTCACCCCCAGGCACAAGCACACCACCAGCACCAGCATCTACCCCATAACCAGGCTCATCCCCAGGCCCAGCAGCACCAGTTCCTCTCCCACACACACTTCCACCCTCAGGGCCAGGCCCAGCCCGAACCCAGGCAGCTGCCACCAGTCCCACAGCATCTCCAGCCTCAGCCTCCCATTCAGTACCCAGCTGTGGGCAGCTCCCAGCACTTTGACTTTGCCCAGTCGCTGGACTTGTGCGATGGGATATCAGGGTTTTCAGATGGCATGTCTGGGCTGGGTGACCTGGGTGGACTTGACGTCCAGGCGAGGAGAGGCGACCTAGGTTTCCTTATGATGGACGAGCCTTTGTCCCCTATGGGTGGAGACCCGCTGCTCTCAGCGATGTCCCCTGAAGCGTCTGTCGACTCCAGCCGCAGATCCAGCTTCAGCATAGAGGACGGAGACATAATGTAGACAAGCATGCATTCGCTCAGTCAAACACACGAGGTTTCGCATAGATTGTAGTAAACATAAATATCACGTTTGCAAAACACAAAATGCGTACATTACATACACAGAAATGATTCAGCCCCCAGACATGACATCATTTATATCACACAGTTTCAGGAAACACCAGTGACACTCCTTTGTGGTACATTTAACTTCCCCTCGGTGTCATTAGAGACAGTACACATTCATCACAAACATTCACGAGCGTATAAACCGACACGCACACATACACCCACACACATAAGTGCATGTGAGTTTAACTGAGCAGCTTAAAACTTTGCCCAACACACTGAGCATTTACAAGGTGTGAACCAGCACTGCCAGGTCAGGAGTTATATGGCACAATTGGCCTTGTTTCCATAAAGGTGGCCCTGAATCATAATTGCACAAGGGACAAAACACCCAGTTAATTAGACTGCCATTATCAGATACAAGAACAAACCAAGTGCATCATCACACACGAAGAGGACAAGTTATTTGCCCCTAACATCAGCTCCTTTTAGTAATCATAAACGATTGAATGAACAATAGAGAACAAAATGGAAATGGCTTTATGGCCCTGCATGCATAATTTATCTTGAGGGGATGCAGTGCAGTCACATTGTTCCCTTCCTCAGGCTGTTAGTTGGCCTCAGGTTTTAGCCGTTTGGTGTTGGACAAAACTTTGTGTTAGCCTGCTCAAGTGTCTATATGTATCCATATCTTGGGGAATATTGCCAAAAAAAACCCTGAAGTTTGCTGCAAAAGGTGGATAATTCAGCTTTTAGCAAAGGCCTTTATATTTACTTGTCGAGCTGAAATTGTCATCTTCTGAAAAAATGCATGCACAGGCAGTCACGTAGCGTTGCCCACCTTTATTTTTTTAGCACCTCCAGCACTGTCGCAATCTTTACTCAACACTGTAAAGTCTGTTGACTTTGGAGTGGGGGTAGAGAAAACGCACTGGATGGCCATCAAAAATCTGAGGGCCATCCATTTCTGTGAGGTGTCAAAACACTCAGGTACTGTAACAGAATACACAAGCAGGCTTTTAAATAGAAGTGGATGTTAACCTGAAATATGTCAGGGCTGTAACCCCTGTCTGTTTGTGCCTTTTTACTTTTGCTGCTCCTCTTCAAAGGCACGTGTTTATGGGTCGGAGGTCTTCAGCTTTGACTCTGTATCACATTCATCTATACCTGTAAATGCTTTAGAAGTTGCTTCTGCATCAGTGTGACCTTGTAAGCACAGGAGATACAGTGATTTCCTCCCACTAAGTGACCTTTTAAGGTCTATATATAGGGCGAGGTGAAAGAAAGAATTGACATGTTTAAATAGTTTAATAGTTTGAGATACAGGATATGCAAAATTGCTGGCTTTGTCTGTCTGTTGGTGTCGCCATTCCGGTCATTCAGGCATTGGTAATTTATTCATGTTCCACACTGTTTCATCCAAGCGTCACCCAAAGCAAACCTGTGTATTCATTCAGACATGAAGCCAAAATGTTAAGGACCTGTCAAATTAATGGAACAGAGTGCATGTCTGAAGGAACTAGAAGTGTTAGTTCTGTCTGTCAGCAGCCGTAGGCTTGTCTTTATGACATTAGAACACACTTGCATGTATTTGTGGTCACACTCACTTCACAGACATGCACACTTTCACCACAAACGATCACTTAGGTATTACAGTACTCACAGGCAGGTGTGTCCATTTTTTTTGTTTCATTTTGTTTTTTTGGACACTGATGTGATTTTTATTATTTTTAGCTGTGTACCAAAACATATTCAAGTTACAGTTACAAGGGGTTAAGGTGCAGATTGTCAACTTTATTTTGAGGGGTTGAACAAAAATATTGCATTTACCTTCAAGAAATTACTGCCTTTTTTTATACACTATTTTCAGGGAGGCAAATTGATGTAACTGTAAATTCAGTTCTTTAATATCTTGTTGAGGTTCCTTTGCAGGCAATGACTGCCTTAAGTCTTGAACTCATGGACTAAAGCAGGGATTCTTCCTGTATTTTCTTTCAAAACTGTTCATCATCTGCTTTTTTTTGCCAAACTTCTCCGGTACATTCTTCTCTTTTTTTTTTTTATCAGAATGTACCGAGCTTTCACTGCCTCTCTCAAGGTTTGTTTTGTTTTTGTACCCTAAGGCCGATCCGTTTGACTTTTTGAGCAACAAATTCCAAATGCAAATGCCACAGTTGAAATCATCTCCAAGACTTTTTATCTGCTTATACAATGAAGAAATGACTGTGTGAAATGGCTGTAATTCCTCACCGGCTGATGCAATATTTCTGTTTAGAGTCTGCACTGTAATACCGTCTTTTCTTCGAATCATTTGTTGTGACTCGCAGAGGCAAGATTGTGAAAAATGTGCCACTGTCCACATATGCCTGGAGGTAACTGTAAATGAACACAAAGTGGAGTGAGGCAGTTTTTCAGAAGAGCCCACTGCTTCACTCTCTTGCCTCGAGATTCACATGAAGCTGCCAGCTGCAGAGGTAAAGCTCAGGTCTGCTGTTCAAACTGTCACCCAATGGTGATTCATTGCTCCAGCTGTCAAAGTGACGACTGGAGCAGGTTGTGCTCAACCTGTGTCGTATCTCTGCTGTGGTAGACCTGGGGCTTACCTTTGATTGATATAGTTTATGATCAGAACAGAAATCTATTTAGTGAACATACTTTCAAGGGGGTTTGTTTTTGATTAAAAGAAGTGTCTGTTTTCTTTATTATTTAGTTTGTTTATTGTATTTCCCAAAGCACTGAAAGAAATGACATTATTGTTTTTACTTTGTACATGGAAGAAATATGGAATAAGATTTACTTCAGATGTTTTATGCCATTTAAATGTATTTTATTTGTATTTGATATTTTAGTTCTATTTCAATTTTATTCCGAAACAACCCTTTCTTCTCAGAGCCATATTCAGGAGGTGTACTGTACAGGCATTTAAACAATGTTTTAACTGGAGTTGGGGAACCATTTATAAACTTCAAGATTTCAGCTGATTTTAAAAGAGATTGTGTATATTTCTGATGTATGATTGGGATTTTATTTATCTCTCTTTTCACTTTGAAATTTGGATCCAGACATAGATGAAGAGTGATTTTTTTTTTTTTATCATTGGACTGAAATCAAGTTGCTCATTTGATGAATGTAAAGGCTTACCAGTAGTTCTTGTCAGACTGAAGAACATTGTTTTTATAGTTTATTTTTTTGCCCTACCTGCCTCCTGATTTTCTGTCTTTGGTTTCCATGGAGACTGGAAGCTGATTGACTTCAGTTAAACTAGGCCAGGGATTTGTGACTCTCCTGACGTTGTACCACTTTTTGTCATCATCCGGGGACGAGCCTTTTCCCGTCAGCTACAGTTTGACTGTTGTTGTTCAGTCATCCAACTAGAGCTCCTCCCTTTATTTTTCCACTAGAGGGCGCTCTGCAGAACAAAGGGGGAAGGTGGTTGTGAATTTAATGACGTTATAAAAAAACATTTTAGAACCCATACACTGGCTGAAAGTTTTATTTTCCTTTTGTTTTTTCTGACATGAGAAATGTGTGTGAGTGTTACTCACAAAAAAATATTTCTACGCAGCCCTTATTTTAGATAAAAATTAAAATACCCCTTCATTCCAAAACAGACACCACAGGTTTTGCCTTCACTGTGACGAATGAAAGTGTCTCTAAATTTGATGCTTGCGTGTGCCATTAGAAATATTCTATGTGCAACTTTTGAGTAAGGTGGAAACTTGAAGCATGCAATGCAAATCCACTGATAATGGACTTCAGCCTTTAGCAAAGTCAGTAGCATATTGTATTTAGCAGTTATTTTGAAATGAATATATGGCGTATTCACACATTGTGGATTTGTCAGTGGGCAGGAGGAGAGATTTTGTTTGTATACTCTGTCACTGGGTTATTTATTAAAAAATAATCATTCAAAGCAGTATTTTTATATCATCTTACAAAAAATATTTTAAATTGACATGGTAAATGGGGGAAGAAATATGTGTACACTTTGTATCCCTGCTGAATTTTGGCCAAAAAACAAAGACACAGCTGACTGAGAAAAAATGGATATTTGTTGGTACAGTGTCATTGAAGCATGGTTATGTAACCTACTGACCAATACCAATGTAAGACAATGACTACAAGTGAATTATAGTTTTATGTGCATAAATTCAACTGTCTGTGCCTCGTTTTTATTTGTGTGTGTGTGACTATCGGAGGCTGATTAGAGAAGCAAATTTCATCATGTGTCCACCAGGGAGCACCAGAGATCTACAGTACCACCCCCACCCCCCACCCCCAAAACCACAATCCAGGAGTCTCCTTCAACTCTGCTCTCCTGTAACACTGTCACAGCGGACACAGAAAGGGCTGGGCTGCCGTGCAATTAACCTTTTTAAATGCTACTTGAATAACTAATCAAAAATGTTGCTTCTTCACAAATACCAAGCAGCATTATTTTTCTCTTTTCAAAAGAACGGCAGCAACTGTTAAGGATACTGATTGGATATTTTGGCCCCTTTAAAGGGAAATCCAAACTGTTTATTAAATGAAAGAACTGCATTGCAACTATCCCAGCAAACATCTTTAGTAAGAAAGTTTAAAGGGTCTGATAATTACATTTATTGTTGTCTCTTACCTGCCTCCTTTTTAAAAAATAATTCTCCTCTTCTACTGCTCATTCCGTCATCTCCTGATGTATTAGTTCAGAGCTGCTTCAGGATGATCCATAAACCGTTTAACAGCCTTTTCTTAAGTTAATTCAGAGTAATCTTATCCCTTACCCACACACACACATATACACACACGCACGCACACACACCCGCTTTATACTGCAGAGCATGTTAAAGTGTGGCGATAGTGTCTGCAGCCCATCCACAGGCCCATTCTCCTGGGTCTTTATGATGCTAATGTACTTCCCGGTCTAATAAATCCCTGTAGAGCTGCAAAGAGTAGATCTTATGGCTCACTCAGATCACCACCTTTTCGCCCGTCTCCCCCACAACACACATACACGCACTGCTATTACTGCTGCAGAAACGCCTGCCTTGCACTTCCACTGATACTTAGGTGGCTGTTTAGCGAGTGGGAGCGAGGGAAAGGGTCGAGACAAATCAAACACGAAGGTGCAATTTAAGAGATGCTGGCACGGAAATGCAGAGTCTGGCCCTGGCATAGTGTCCTCGTGGGTGGGCGAACGAAAGGAGGCACTTTGAGAAAATACTCATGACTTCTTTTACTGATGGATCGACCATCTTGAATGGGTTAAGGCATTGCACCTAAGGGATCACTTTATCCTCCTTGAAGAAGAAGAAAAAACAGCATGTTCAACAAGCAGGGGACAAAGAGCTCCACCCAGAGCTCAGGGTAGAAACCTCTGTTGGACTGGGACAGAATGAAGCATCATTTTCTCCTCCAACCAATCCTCTCATTTATCCTCCCTCGTCCTCACCCCAACTTCTGCCCCTACACGCAGCCCCCTCCCTCCATAGTCTTCTTCATCTTCTAGCTGCTGACTTGGTGGGTGTGTGTGTGTGTGTGTGTTAGTCCCACCTACATCCCTGGGGAGCAGTGTGTCACTCAGCTTGAAGCCCGCGGAAGAGGGGTGAAAGGGGGCTGATTGAGCTAATTTAGCCCCTGGATGGGAGAGCAGAAAAGGCCTCACCCTCTGCTAATAGACAGACATCAAAATGGAGATGAGGGGGAGGGGTGGTGGGAAAAGGGAGTGGGGGGAGAGTGGAGGGAGGGGGGACGATAAAACTGAGGCGACTTTTTGATGGATTTATCTCTTTTTGTCCGAGGTGATGTGGAGGGGAAAAAAAAACTTTTATGAACACCGAGTGACATTGCGAAGTTGGTAAAGGTTTATGTGTGTTGCCTGGAATTAAAACCTGCTGATATTACTTATTGATCCATCCTCCTCCATTAAGATACCCTCAATCACAGCCTTCTTTATGATCTCTCCTGCCCGGGCCACTCACCGCACATTCTCCTTTTGACAGGCAGGCTGCAACTCACCCCAAAACTACTGGCTTTTACTGCTATGGATGGAAATTGGAGACACTTTTTATAGCCTTTGTAGGCATGAATAGTCCTGTAGGCTCTGATGGCCCACTATCAAAAAGCCTCTAATGAAGATGGCACAATGACACAACATTGATCTCCCCCCCCCCCCCCCCCCCCCCTTTCCTTTAGATTCATAATTCATCAGCACCGAAGTTTGCCCTAAAGTTTTGGGGCATCTCTGAAGTGCTGATGTCCACGTATTTCTCCCCACCCACCCCTAAAAAAAGTTCTTCCCCTCTGTAAGGAAAGACCCAAGCTCCTTCAAACCATTAAACAGGCTAAAACCAACGCTCCTTCCTCGCACACTGTCTCTAACTAACTAGGTTTCAACACTATCGTCGCGCACCTCCCTGTCCTTCTTCATTCCCTCTTCTCCTGCCCCTCTTTATTCTGCTGCTTCTTTGTCCATCTTCCTCTACATATTTAATACTCTCCACTGACTCCTCTCAACCCCTCGTGCCTCTATTCCTGAAAGAAAAAGGGGCTCAAATTGGCTGGAGAGATGAATAATGTCCCCGCCATTAACAGTGGCGCGGACGGATCAGTCTTTTCATGTGTGCAGAGGTGACGAGATCAGCTGCGGGAGAGTTGAGGGCCGGTTGCAGCGGCACTCTTTTCATTCTCGAACTTTTGCTCAGACTGCGGCAGAGGCAGAGAAGAAATGAGTAAGATGAAGCTTTGCAAAGACGCAAAGAGTAAGGGTTCGTGAGCTGAGATTGCAGCAATTTCAAATTCCTGCTTAAATTTAAAAAAAAAAAAGAGTTTGAAAGGACTGTCAGCTGAGGCTTAGACTTTTAGATATTTTGAAACAGGTGTATAAGAAAAAACCCCGCACATTTTGTGAAAGCTGTTATTCAGTTTTTGTGTTTGCCTAACATCATAAGTAGCATTGCGCTTTCTTATTTATTCTATCATCACAATCAAGTAGCCTAATTTCTCCTCATATGCTGCAAATGGTTACTTTTTCTTCTGCATGGCCAGTAGGGGGAGTTAGTGGTCCACACCTCGGTTGAGCCCAGTGAAAATGGAAGTCAAACACGGCCTGACAGTTCTCAGCGCTGAGAATTAATATGTTGTTTTGAATCGCTTGAATGTCATTCGCTGACAGAAAGAACATCTGGTGCAACCTTTGTCAAATTAAGACATGGTGTCCCTCTCTAAATTCCTCCAGAAGGCTTCTCGGGAACATAATAGGCAAACTGTTGTTCGGCTCCTAGTGAGAGATCAGAGCTGGAACACAAATATTTTAACATCTTTTTTTTCCCTCTTTTTTTTTTTTTGATTGAAGAGGCGCTAAAGTAAGCTTATCATTATTAAGACAAATAATGTGCCTGACACCGATTTGACACATTTTGAAGGTTAACTGCTCCATCCCTTTCTCCTGCGGTTGATGGTGTGCCCGTGAAAGTGGTGACTCTGTCATATCTATTGGAAGTTTTGTCAGACTCTATCATGCACAGCATCCGTGACCTTGACCACCAAATCATCACTCTAAGAAAAACATTTTTTTTAAAAACCCAAATTGAAAAACATGAAGATTACAAAATAGTTAATGGTCTGGCACACAGGTGCTATTCTTTGCTAAGCTCCTGAGATCTATTTGTTCTTTTGCTGTGTTTGTTTTTCTATCTGCCAACCCGTCCAGCCATCCACTCATCCATTCATCCGTCCATCTTGCAAATCCTCGTCTGTTTCGTTCTGTGTTGTTGTTGAGCGAGAGGCTGTTTCCATGAACTTACAATCTGAAGGTTGCAAAGATTTGACTCCTTTTTTTCATACCTCCCTGAAAAGCAGCGTAGATTATACAGCCTACAGCTTTTATCACATGTATGCCCTTCTTCAAGCTTCTTTTTTATTCTCGTCCTCTCGTCTCCCGCCTTTCAGAGACCTGAAGATAACGGCGCGGCACATGACGCCATTGTCCTCCCTCTCTCGTTCGTAGGTGGAGATTTAAAGTTCTGCTTTAAAACTGCCACTTCTCCAATCCTACTTAACCCCCCCTCGTCTTCCTCCTCTTGTCTCCCCCCTTCCTCCTGAGTATACTACCTAACCCTTCTGAACTTCAGTCGGAGTTACTGAAGACCCGGAGTACACTGGGGAGTCAGCTACACCACTGAGAGAGAGACAGAGATAGACAGAGACTTAGCTGCCTGCTATTCTACCACTCTCTCCGGTAATAAGAAAAGTTTCTGTTCTTTTCTGTGTTACAGCAGGGAGATAAAACTAGGGATCACTCACACTCACATGTACTTCTTTTTTTTTTGCACAGACACGCACATAAAACACAAATCTGTGAAGATACGCGCACACTCGCACACAAAAAGAGGCACGTTATGGACAAAGGTGCTCTCTCACGCACACCCTGTAGTATGAGGCTTTTTGCTCAAACTCCTGCAGACAGAGAGAATCCCCCCTCCAAAAAAAATAAAAAAAAAATAGATGGGAGTAGAGGAAAAAGAAACAAGTTTAGTCTGTAAACGACTCAAAAAAACCCTGATTCAAATTAGAGGGCGATTTCCACAAAGGTCAATGTATTCAGCTGATATCCTGAGAGGGAGGAAATTTAATACCCCTTTTTGGTTGAATTAATTAATTATAATATTAGGCTAGCTCTGGGGGCCCTTTTCTTCAGTGATTAAGTGAGCACATATCTTTAAAAGACTGCGTCGGTCTCTGGGGCCCTGGGCTTCTGAACCTTGGGGTGAAACAGAGAGAGATGTATTATACATGAGAGGACCGAGAAACACAGACCAGTCCACTCGCCTCCGCAGCAAGACACACCTTGTTCCTTCTTTAGACCTTCAGGAGCACTTGGCTTTCTTTGCAGAGTCACTTTCTGCCGCCCCTCTGCCCTCCTCTGGTCATCTGAACGTTCAGCTCAGCGTGGCTTAAGCTTCACAGATTAGCACTCCTCTTTACTTGCCGTGCATTGTGAGGTGCGTTCCTATTTTAAAAAAGCAAAGAGAGCAACAAATCCTAGGATCAAAATCAGCAACAAAATATATTCAACCATCAGAAGTGAACGGAGTCATTATGCAGAGTGGTCCCCTTTAGAGAGCTAAATTATTGATGTATAAAACCTGCAAGAAGCATTTTGAGGTTACAGGTCA